GTCAATTGTCTGCCTTTATTCGTACACTATAGCCTCAAAGAGCCCTCTCCGTTCTATTATGTCGCTAAATAATTTCGGTAACATTATTGTTTGGTTATTTTATGCGTTAGTTAAAGTAAATAGCCAGATATGACTAAACAAACATACAACACAAGAGCATTACAGTTTGTAACGTGTGTCACAATACGACCTTTTGTAACGCGCGATGAATATTTTATGAAAACGTGAATTAGCACTGGACCCCCTTTCAAACATGAACATATGCTGTAGTAGTTGTAAATCCCAGGCAAAATGTATAGAATAAAAACTGAACATAAAACAGTGTGGTTTTGAAGAAAACGTGGCTTCGGCAACTCATGTAGAAAGTGTTTTAAAACTGCACAAAATCTGTCACCAGATGCCATACCAGGGTTAAATCTTCAGTCCATAAAAGAACAAAGGCCACTGGAAAACGTAACTTGTTTTTTTTTGGTTATGTTTCAATACGTTAAAATTAATAATAACAGAGTTCCGAACTAGCCTCAAGAACTTTTTCGAGACAAAAGTGCACTTAAGTTCAAGTTTGTGCACTCCATATAGACTAACTGCAGGTGTAAATGGATATTTTTTTTCAACTTATCACATTAAATGTGGGAAAACCCTACATAAGATAATCCAGTAAGTGTATTTTATCTATAGTTGAAATTATTCTGTAAAAATTTCATCATGTGGCTTTTTATAGAAAATAAACGTTTAACCCAGAAGCTAATAAAACTGCAAAAAAAATTTCATAACAAAATAATTCAGAAATTATCTATCATTACAAAAAATCCTTTCACAAACAAAAACATTTCTTAGAATTATCTTCAGAATCTTATAGAGCACTTTTTGTTTCCCTTTTCCCAACAGAATCTTATTATCTAAACTTTTTTTTCCAATTCCTTTGTAGTTTTTTATTTTTCACTAATTTTATCTGCTGCTGAAAACATTTAGCGCTAGTATAAAACTACTATTGTTCAAAACATTTTTTTTCTTTCTTTAAATATTTACAGTTCAAGCCTGCATGGCTGATAAGCCTAAAGAAGTGACTTCTTTAAAGAAACATACTTCAACCTTTGTATTAAATATAATCTTAATTTAGAACCTGACTTTTTATTTCCATTCGCAACTTTCATGCAGCTAATCTCGGCTAAAGAAATTTTTTAATTTACTACCTTTTACTAACATGAATTTTATTTTGGTACACTCAAGACTGTTAATCGTTCAATTCACCTTAGGTGACACTGAAAAATCAATTTATAAACACCCCCATATGATCGTTAATAAAGCACTAGATTAAAGGAATTCATGTTTCAGAAATCAATTGAAAAGTGAAGTGTTTTGGTAGCCGGCTTTTCCTCATTTCAGTTCATTCCCTAGATTTATTTTATAGCTTTATTTTATTGCTTTCTCATAATTTCAGCATGGAAATATGTCACCAAAGTCGATGCAGTATGATTTTTTTTCTTCTCGATTTTGGATTTTCCGAGATTTTATTTTTTTTCAGCAGTGAAGTAGTAGTAGTATTGGTTTGTAATACTTCTTGGAACGGATAAATGGGTCAAATAATCAATGTAGTGTATCGACTATGGGTTTTTAGAAGACGGCAACAACATGGGCCATAATCAATACAGCAATAAACATGATTACGATTAAATAGCTCTCAAAAGATTTGCAAATTCAATAATTGTGAATGAATGAATGAATCAAAATATAGGGCCATACTAGTTCATAGTAAGAATGCTGCAACAAACACGCGTAGAATCAAGCATCGTCAACAAGCCGTAAATCAAGATATGTGCCATCTTATATATTCTATGATCCAGAACCTACCCCCTAATTTTTTGCATATTGATATACATATTGGAATATCATGATCATAACAAGCCAATTAAATCGGGTCAGAATTAATACTGTATATTTTCCCCGAGATTAATGTAGCAGCCCTATTCTTGGATTCTTACATAGAGTCTTTTTTATCATATGAAATTTTACGAAATAAAACTCTTAAACGTGACAGATAGAACCTATGTCTGAATTACACAACATTTCGAAATAGGGCAGTTACGATTGAGTCTACGAGACAGCTTTTCCCCTTCACAACTGTATCATTACAATATTGAAGATGAATCGTCTAAACACATTTTGTCTATGAACTATAATCGAAAAAGATTGAGACATTTATTTGAACCTAAATTTTCTGCAATTTTCTATAAAAAAAAGATTGCGCTCTGATTAAAGTAGGCTTTCTCCAAAGGGATGTTGTGCATTGAAGATGTTATCAATTTTTCTTCCCCCATTTATTTTTATGTCATTAGGGAAAAGAACCAAAACAGTGTTGTTCAATCCAAGTCGAAATGTTTCTATACCATAGCCGTTGACATTCAGCCCGGGAAAGGAATAATCCTCTTTTATTATTTAGCCGAGAAAAATAAAAATTGAACGAAAATCAATTTCCTGTGTTTTTTGTACGCAATTCTAACATGAAAAGCTCTAATGAAATACCTGCATTATTTTAGCATTACTCATGCCCGTGTTATAATCTGATCTATGATTATTATGGAAGCCCACAGTCGGTCCCCGTCCTTTGAGCCACTATAATCAAGCTCGGCAAGTTTCCTGTCTCGTTAATTATTCTGCCTGAACAAAGAACTACGTACATTCGTCCAAGTAACTTGGAACACACAGAAAAAAAATAATTTAGCACCTAATGCTAAAGTCATGTAATTACAATATTTATCTTGGTAAAGTTAATCATGTTTTGACACTGACTCAAACAGTTGTGCTAGTTAATGCAAAAAACATTCCTTGTATGGGCAGAACTACTTTTTTTTCCCCTTGTCTTCAAATTCATGCGTTTTCCTTGGTTTTTTTCTCTCCAAATTCCAACTAAATGAGCTTAAACCATGATTAAAATCACTATTCAAAAGGCTTCATGGTACTGGTAATATCAGCCTAGTTCTTCCATTATTTTTCAAATAGCTAATGCCTGAAAAAGTGTTAAATTGTACTAGGAATCAACTTCGTGTCACCATAGTAACCATTACCTGCGCCTAATACCTCTCGATCATGTACAATAACAGGGTAAATAGAAAATTGCTCATTTATATGTCAACTCAAATTGTTTATTCTTCCAGCTGAGGAAAATCAGGATTTCCTCAATTTTCAGACCGCTGCAGTCAATTGGGGACTATTTAAGGAATTGATTCTACCCTCAATTACAGTGATTAGGCATAAATGCTCCTTAAAGAATTTATCAGACACTGTTTTCTCTGAACGGTTTTCTAAAGAGTTTATGCTTAAAACCAATCTTTTTTACAGTGTACTTCCCACACTCTATCCCCTCCCTTTAATACAAATTTCTTCAATTTTTCGTCAAAATCTAGCTTTATCATGGGTATGTATGAATTATCGCATAATACATAAAATCAGCTAATTTCTTATTTATATTAAGAATTAGCGTTATCTGCTCGTGCATGCCTAATCAGTACAAATCCACGATGAAATAACAATTTTCCGCACATCCTTAAGATATGAAAATTCGGAGGGACGACCACCTTGTGTACGATGAAGTACCCCTATCTTTCAACAATGTATACCGAAAGTGACATTAAAGAAGAAGCCGTTATCTGCATTCTGCAGGACGGCGTGAATTTGATCCACGTCCCCGGTGTTAATACTTTGCCTGCTTGACGACGCATGCATCTGGTAAACAAGATCGTAATATTCAACAAATCAACATATGGTTAAGGGCTTAAGTCTCAGAGCTGATTACAGAAAATTTTCATCAGGCCGCTTATACTCTGATAGTCTAACATTTGGCTACGTTTGTTTTAAGTTTGAGGCAGTTAAACAAAGGACTAAGCGATAAAGCTCCCCGCTTCATGACAGATCATACCAAGTCTGGACATTAAAGCTAAAAAAATCTGTTTGACTTCTGTTACATGTCCGAGAACTGATTTTGATTGAAAGAAAGAATGAATTTTACTTCAGCTAATCCTTTTTTCATGATTTAATTTTTTGTTTTTGCATACATATTTTTTCTCTCCATACAACAGATAAAGTTAATTAATTTTAATGATTAAACTACCTCATACTTAAAATTTTAATTTAACAGGTTTTTTCTTAGTGCAATAACTGAAAATTTCAAAAAAGTAGTGCAGTATCCTAGGGCCTAATAAATGACTGGCCCTCTAAGCAGGTGAAAATTTTGAAATCTGCCACCTAATAACAATAGGCGATGAAAAGATTTCAATATTACCCTTATCAAATAATTAACGTTTATCATTGACAAAATAGTGATAAATGGCCAATAGAAAATTGTGTGTTAGCGTGCGCCTCGATACACGAGTCCCTCTATAGGAAGAAAATTTACTTAAAGCAATTTCTTTACAGTATTTCAACTTAACATAAGAGATAGGATCCTACTACTTTTTTTTAAAGAGAAAACCAAACTATGTGCTGTCTTTATAAAAATAGCCCAAAGGCATGTTAAATTTATTGTTATTAAAATTGTTTCTACAGAAAAAGAAACCGTTGGTAAACATGTTTAAACATAATTTTGTTTATATTGCCACCTTTTAGTCATACAAACATTTTTAACATACTTCTTAATCATAAGCCTTAGAATATAAGTAATGTTCAAGATCCTCTCAACTTTTCAAAGAAAAACAATACGTTTTTTGTTTCCATAAAAATATGAACCTTTTTCCCATAAAAATGTAAAAAAAAATGTGAAGATGTGAAGAAAGAAGGGTAAAAGTATATAAGATCATGAAGTAATCTATATTCACACAACAAATATTGTACAAGATCTTAATCAAAATGCAAATAAAAACATAAATACTGAACAGGTAAAATGAAAATGATGAAATAAATACCAAAAAAATAAAAATAAATAAATAAGAAACACATAAAAAAGTAAAAAAACGTAACTAAAAATTTCGTTTTTTAACTTAAATGATAAGAAAACGTAGTCTTACATCCGAGAGTCGATCCGTTGGAGATGACGGAGTTTGCTGGACTTCCTGGATCGCTGTCAATTTCATATTTCACTTCTATTTTCACATCATTTGGATAAGGTACACCATCACTCCACCCATCTAAAATTTAGCACGGACACAATAGTTCAGTTACTCTTTTTTTCTACCTTTTCTTTTTTTTTAAACAAGCCCAAAATCATTATTAACATATGAAACATGCAGTCTTGGGATTTTAGCCCACCCCTTTCGTTCATTTAAGTACTTTTCAGTTACAAAATCTTGGTGGAAATCTAGCTTTAATTTATCTAACTCGTACTTTAAATTCCGAGAAATAAAATTCGATAGGAATGAAAACAAAAGAAACTTTAAAATTAAAATGGTGTATAATACCAGCAAAGAATATATTTTGTTTACAATGAAAATGACAAATATTTTTTTTCTTACAAAAAGTGTATCACTTTTTTGCAAAGTCATTCTTGTTTATTTGTTTCATTTTTCCCCCCTCCTGGATATTTCCATATCACATTCAGCCAAATTCAACTAAAAATAAATATATTTCATATTTCCCACCATCCATTCCCCATCTAAAATGTCTTAAAATGTATAAAACTTATTGGATAAGTTCTGTATTTTTTACTGGCACATAGCTTTTTTATACTTCAATATGACTTTACAAGATTTAAAACCAGAATTACGAAAAATAAAGATATATAACTATATAAATATCTGAGAGATAGAAAGAACAAAGAGATAGAGGTTAGTACAACTGAAAATGTAATGAAAAGAAAAAATAAACGACACAGGTACTGATTACATAAACAAGCAGTTAATCAACTCAAAACACATGCAAAATTTTAGTTTAGTACATATCTAAAGCGTTATCTATAAACACAATTAGTTCACACAGACACACATATATACATAAGTTAAGCTTCTAGATGAGGGGAGGTCGGGTGGGGGTGGTGAATAAATGCAGATGATTTCTTAACCTCATTTTCAAACCAGCAGTTAAAAAAACTTCTTCTATACAAAAATATAGACGTATCAGAATTTTAGTGCATATATGTACTATTTTTTTTTACATAAGCATGAAACTTATAGTAAAATAGGAAAAATATAGCTAAAAATTTATGTCTTTGTAACAAAAATATAAATTTATAAATCTCAACTTTTAACTTCTTTCCCTTCATAACCAATACAGGAAAAAAGCTAGAAAAAGACCCCATTCTCCATGATTTTTGTACATTCTTTTCATGAAATTACAAAATACTCCCCAATTTATGAAGAAAAAAAATTTGTCTTGAATTGCGTATCTTTTGTGTACGTCAAAAAAGGACTGTTTTGTTAAAATTCACAAAGTAGATCATTTCTTTTGGACCTATTCAAAATATTTACGTATTTCAACGCTCTGTCCGAACATGTTTGCTTTATATACTATTTCCTATACAAAAGCTATACAATAGACCAAAACATTTTATGAATTGACTGATGAATATTCTTTTAATTCAAGTTCAATCATAACCCTATTTTCTTAAATAAAAACCACCATGTGAAAAACTACCTTGTTCAAGTCGTAAAACATTTTGAAATTTAAATTTTACACATAAAAAACTCTGATCACTAGAGCGTATCCGTAATTTCAGAGCATTAAGCCGTTTTTGACGAGCTTGAATATGACAGACGACACGTGCTGTTTCAACCAAGGAGAAATGTAACCCGTATTTTGTTGCCTCGAAACACAAAACGAAGTTTTCTTTGTTCTTCAGCCCCCCTTTTCTCAAAAATGTGTCCAAATTACCATAAATATTTCTCATGGGTTTTTATTTGTAATTTTCTTGTATGTGTTCATATTTTACATGGAAACCTTTATTTTTTTTGGCATATTTCAATTCAATAACAATAAAAGGTTAATTATGAATTAATTTAAGATGGTTAACTGCATTCCACATAATCATGCATTATTAAAATAGACTCAGATGTAAATTATACAAACAAACCACACCGGTAGGGTGTTCATGACAGAACGTTTTCAAATTTTATGTACAAAGAGTAGGGCATTATCAGTGATATCAAATCTATGAAAATTTAATTTCACAATGTCGTCCCTAGACTAATTGGTAAATTAAATATAGATGACCCTAGGGGCCTTGTTCATTCAGAAAGGTACAAAGTGGACATGCAAAACCGAAATAGCTAACAGATGTTCAGCTGTCACATGAACTACAACTTTTTGTCCACTACCTTTTCCATTTCCAAATATGCTCATTAAAAAATGTTTCATGTATTTTCTGTTATTAACTTAATTATTTCATCTGGTCAAAAAAAGATTTCTATTTTTATTCTACTGTTCATGTTGTCTTATAAAACCAAAACAAAAACAATATCTTTAACTCAATAATAATATTACCACCAAAAAAATTCATCATTCAGTTACTTAATAAATTTCCACACAACAGCATAATGCTCAATTTAGAGTGTCTAGGCCTGACACAAGGAACACTTTTCCATGTTTTTCTATGACAGGATAATAATCTCTCAGCCCATAGGATAATAATTGCTCTGCCTATTATTAATAACCCAGCATTAATATCCAGCTACCCTAAACCTTAATGTGCCTTGTGTAAGTGCTATGCCTGGTGCCCATTTTGATGGGGTTATATCCAATGAAACTCATGTCCCCCAAACAACTGCCTTAATTACCCTGCATATTATCATCCTCAAAGACAAAAATTCGCAAATTCACCCCTTTCATGCGACGTTCTGTGCGAGACACTGCCGAGAATAGGCAATAGTCCCCTGTTTTTTAAAGAGACTTCGGTATTAAATGCTAGCAGTCAACCAAATCTAGTTTGTAATGGATAGTGTCATGGGGTTATTTTATAGCTGAACTTTCCAATTACTTTCTATAAATGGAAAACATGATAAATTCTAAAGTGCCATTTAACACTGTGATAAATCTTGATAACAATTAACATGGAATTTTTTTACAAGTATATTACACTTTTACAGGGCCTATTTTCAGCATTTTATAGATAAATAATCATTGTCAACAGTCATGACAACCTCTGTTAGTGACATGCTGAAAAAAAAACCCATGATGATTATGTGAAAAAAAAATTAACATACAAGTTCTGGTTGCCATGGTTTCCAAAGTCACTCACTACACTCAGTGTGATGTGACACTAACATGTTTTCAATGTAAAATAAATCTGTTCTACATGATTCTAGCACTTGTGTTGTTTGTTGTCCCTCCATTATAAAAACAAGCATATATACATGTAGTAATATTTTTATTTATAACTATTGAAAATTGAAATTCTAGTAAAAAAAATCGAATTCTTAATCAAAATTTGATAACAGCTTCAATATTAATTTGTTTTAGACTTCCTTTTTCATAAGTACAACTATGTTACGATACTGGACAGGAAAATTTTTCAAAGTAAATTTCAAATCCATTTTTAATTCTCCTAAATGTTTACCATGTCTTTAAATCCTGAGATATTTGAGAGAAAATTTATTGACCATAGAGATTGTTGTGACCAAAGTTTTATAGTTTTATCAATGAAAGAAATGGTAGTCCAATAACTCAATATTTCGGTTCAATACTACGAAGTTTCTCCTACTAATGCCAGTGTCCTCGGGTGCAATCTTTTCTGATATTTCAGAGGCAATGTCGGTGTACACTGCTATCAAAGAGCATGTTAAAATCATTAACAATGTCATGATGGTGTAAATAAAGTGCATTCGGAGCAGTTAAACACACTACGGGGAGTATTAAACAAAATCACAACAGCACTCTGTTCTGTTATGCCAGGATAAGGCACCTTAAAAAAATATGTTTAATCCACAAGCGCCAGGAGGGTAGAAAAAACAATTCCATCTTACAATCTACTTGAAGCATGAACGTTAAGAAGTGAATATTTTTATCCTGGCACCAACCTGAGACTACATGTGTTAAGTTTTGTTAGAAGGCTCGTGCCAAGTGCAAGGTTTCACCAGATTTACCTTGAAAAACGAGAACCATGTACATTATATACAAAATGCATCAGTAGAACTCACGAGAGAGAAAATTGAGGTATTTAAAAGGCTGGAGTTAATTACGACCTAGGTAAGAACTGATGCATGTTTATAACGTATGTAAAATTACTCTGTGAATTAACTTCAAAACTAGGTGTATGATAAAAAGCCTTACATCAAAGCCAAACAAAAAATGTAATCCAATTTCATTAATCTTTTGACCGATTTCAATGGACAAATATCTGTTTTAGTCGTTTTTTTCTTCTCTCATTTACAACAGCACTTTATGCAAGACAACAGAATGTATACTAAAATTAACTTTCATGATACTCTTATTAAAAACTTTCAATTATTTCAAGATAAGCACTTTTCCTGTAAAACTGGTGATGTTATAAACAATGGTTGAATAAAATGATTAGTATCAGTAGAGGGTTATTTGTATGAGTACAGGTGGTCGGTCATCCATGATTAGTATCCAATCTTTGCTAATGAACATACATACATGTTTTGGTTAGTAGATTTGACTTCTAGGTTTGCTTTATATATATTATATATAAATATATATATATTAATCAGAAATAGAGATGAATTAGTAACAAAGTGCTCTTAGCATATAAGTGCTAAGAGCAAGAGAAAATGTACGGACAGACAAGACATATAAAACATACTGTATGGATTGTAGTCCTCACCTTGGCCCTCAGGTTCTTGGGGTTGTAAACAGGCTGTAAACGAAGGAATAAATGGTGAATTTGGCATTAATAATCAAGAGCAAAGTATTATAACATATATATCACACACACATATCTGGTAACTCTACAAAAAAACTTTTAGTGTAAAATATTGCTTAAATCATTTTAAATTTAATATTCTTTAGACTTGTCCTAACAAAGACTGCTTAGTTGTTGTTCTATACTGAATATCAAATTTTATGTAGAAATTTTTAAATGAACAAAAAATCCAAAGTTAATTTTTTTTGTTAAAGATTCTCATAAAAACCAACAAGGTTCACAAAGCATACTAAACAAACTATGCAGCATCTGCACAACATCCAGCCTGCACTTGAAACATGAAAAACTAGTCTAAAGCTAAAACACAGAATAAAGAATGAGACAAAATGCACACAATGGACAATTTTGTATCCCAATGAAAGAATGACAAATTCATCATATAAATTCTTCAATTCTTTGATACACTGTGTATACCACAGAAATGATAAATTTTTGATTCCTGATTAAATGATAGCTGATATAACCAAATGAAATATTTTGACTATGACAAAAATAATAAGTAGGGTGAAAAAAAAAAGAGTAGAAACTTGATGAATGACCTTGATTACCTGCCAGTCGCAGGGCAGACATTCGCTGGAATTCGGGCTCCTGCAACCATTTCCACATTCGTCGGAATGTTTCTCTCCCTGACTTAAGCTTACTCCATGGCTTTGGATTTCTCAATAGATCACTAAGTGTTCCTTGACTTCTACATAACACTCTTTGTGCAAACACTGCCTGGGGTATACTGTATCTTTTAAGTTCACTGCTAATCCTTTGTGCTAGTTCTTTAGTGTTTATTTCCTCCACTTCTTTACCATTTTGATCCAGCCCCTGATGCTGAGGGCTTCCACTGTGCATGCTATGTGGGGAGGTACTTTCCATACCCGTTGATGGGCTCAAATGGAGCCCATTTGCACTCTGCATCATTGGAATGGGTGAATCACACTGTTTAATTTTCATGGGTGAATGTATTCGGGACGGTGCTGATACAAGATTCTGTTGATAAGGATCATAAGCTGTAGAATGATTTGGTGACAAAATTGGTTTCATTTCAACTCCTGATTTTGGTGATGGCACACCATTTTGTCCAACATTATAAGTATAACCAACACCAATTGACTGATTTGAATATCCATTTACCTGTCCCACCATGGAAACCATGGGTAATGACACTGGTGTCATAGTGTTCATCATTTTGTCGTAACTGTATGTGTTTAAATTCATAACATTATCCATTCCTGGTATTCCATTTATCGCGTTATTCATAAGTTGAAAGTTGTTCTGATTCTGTAGAAATTTATCCGACACTGTAGAAATAGGTGGTAGAGGTTGAAGCGGCGTAAGTGTAGCATAGTTGTTTGGGCTGTAACTCGGACTCATTCTTCCATTCAATGTTTGGTATGTAAGATCCCCCATCTGAGATCGGTATTCATGTGAGTCAATCATACTGACTGGAATGACTATGTCCGAACGCGTAATAGAAGCAGGGGAGTCGATCTCCCCGCTAGTTAATTCCGAACTAGGTAACTCTCCACTAGGTGTTGACTCTCCGACACCTGGACTAACACTGGCACTATCAACACTACCAGGGTCCACAAATTCCTGCTTAGGTGTAACTGTGAACTCGTCCTCGCTGACGGTCTGACTCGAAGTGATCGGAGTTGTCGAGGAATCGTTAATTTGTTGATCGGTTAGTTCACCCATGTTTTCCATCGTCATTCTACAATCAACAAGCGATCGAACAACAAAGAATGATAAACTGTCAAATGTAGTAACCTTTGGTAGCGAATTCTGGTTGGTTATTTCGATCCAAAGGGGCTATTACGTACGATTAGAACTCTGTAGATAAACGATTCGGCCAACCTCCATGTTTAGACAGCTGTGACCTGCGCGAAAACGCACTGCGCATCGCATAATTAATGTTATTGGGCATGCGCAGTCCAGTTTCAAACAACATGAAAGGAACCGGTAGCCACATGTTCATAACTTTGTGAAAACAATCTTCTACTTTGAAATTGTAGTGGATTTTTTTTATATGAAAGAGAACAATTGATGTGCATTAATTCATCAAAATGAAAATAAATCGTTCTTAAATTCTTGCATTATTTTTCAAACTTTGACAAATTAAATTGAATAAAAAGCACCTTGCTCCTAATTAATTAAATTAATTGATACTAATTGTCAATTAGTGTATATGGAAGTTCTAAAATGATTAACATATTGAAATCACTTTGATATGAAGTGGATGATTTGTTTGCTTTAAGCGCAAATACGTTAATATATAATTATTGTAATGTGTGCAGAATATATATTGTTATAATCTGGAACTTTTTTGTCTATATAAAAAGTTTATTATTTTATTAAATACATTTGTATGTTGCGCCCAAATGGCTAACATTTAAAAATGTTTTAATAAACTCATTTTTGTTTTCCTTTTTGTATTAGGTATGATACAATTTGTTATGTACGTAGGTAAAACTGTTAGTCCATCCATTAATTTATATTTGATAAATTTTGTTTAAATATGCATTGTTATGTGTTTCATCAGTACCATGTCTTTCTATTTCTTTTTTTTTCTTGTCTTTTAATTATGTTTTTTCTTACTTTTCTGAATTATTTTGGTAATTTTGATTTGTATAGTTTGTACAAGCTTATTGTTTGAAGTTAAAGGTGCCTAAAATTTGACAGGCCTGTTTGAAATGCGACTTCATCACCTTTGACATGTTAACATTTGTAACCGTTAGATATTGTTCACACCTCAACGCCGAATGTAGTCCTCATCATGTATGTCAGGTGTCCTTGTTAGCGAACAATGCGGCACGCGCCACTGTGCAAAGATCACAACATCTGTTTGTATATTTAATTGGCCTTTAACCCCGCCCCCTAGCACCTTCTGCATTCCCGCAGGGAGGTGATAATGCAATCTACTTAGCTATTGTTATCGCTATGTACACAAGTTTCTCTGTAGTTTTGCAATTTCTAACGGTTGATGTAATTATACATCTGTTCGATAATTTCTCCGGCCATTTGTTGCTTTTGTAACGGTCATTAATGTTGCAAATGAAGCTGAATCAATATTTAATAATAAAATCTAGGAGGTTTGAATTAAGTAGCACAAAGACCATTTACTGTTATTTGATAAATATTTTAATAATTGTCGGTCGCCAAAGGTCTTGACTTCCATGGCCGGACTCCTGATTGTGGTACATGTTTTTAGTTGAGTCACTTAAACCTCTTTAACTCACTTAATGATACCGCTTCTATCAAAGCCAATATTATTTACAACCGCAATTAGTGTAGTAACTACAGGAACACATAAAATACCCTAACAAATTCATATCTTTTAAAATAATAGAAAGAATAACAAACATCAAGTATGTATTTCATCAAAATATTATTTATTTTTGAACGCATTTTTTCAATGACTGCATTGGCATTTTCAAGATGGCGACACTCAGACGAAATCGTGAAACTTTTGTGTTTATGAGTGGTGACAGCTTTATTTCATCAAACAAGTGGTATTTTTGAATTTCTATTGATGTAGACTTAGATTGGACATTGTTCTGTGTGACCATTAAGTTCTGATGTAATGACACTATTTATTTTCTCAGAAAACATCGAAATTTCAATGTAAACAAACTTCTTCTACGGTAAATAGATGTCACACGTGTTTTCACAGTTTATTGGTAGGCGTACAAAGTTGATTGCCGGGTCGATCATACTTGATCGATTTTCACTTTGAGTGACATGCCTTCAAGTATCATGGGAATAATATGAAATTAGGCAAAGCCTATGAACGGGGAAGTCGTTAAAAAATTCCTTTCATTCTTTCCGTTTTAAAATTGTCATTCGGTATTACATGCACCGCTTCCGTTTTCACTCGGAACACTCGACGTTTATTATTTATCCGAAAAGTTGAGATTTGTTCCGTTATCGGAATACCACGCCTTTTATCATTGAGTTACATTGTAAATGGCAGCGCCCGAGTAGAACTGACACTGAAAATTTCATTGATAGGTATAGAATTCTATATATTTTTGAAATGTTTTTTATTTGATTTTCTTTTAAATATACACGTGTAGTCTATAGCCGGGCAAGCCAAAGCCCGGACCCGCTTCGCGGGCCCGGTCTTTGACTTCCCCGTATGAAAAAATCTATTGACTCCTCCCCAGAGACTATCCTACAGCATAGATTTCTGTGGGAATATAGAATTTAGTATTGATATGGTATCAAAGAATCTTAAGCGTTTATCTTAACTACAGTAAGTTCAGATTTATGATGTAAATGCAATGTAAACTTGCTTTACATTCAGATTTTATTGAAAAAAAAAGTAAAACAATACACTATGTATACATGAAGAGTGAGACATTTTAAAGGTCTAATAGCCCAATATATAGTTTAAAAACAGAATTTAAAAAAAACAACAGAATTTACACTAGGTATTAATTAACAATTTACAAAATTATATATGGTTTTATTGATTTCATCTGTTATGTTTAAACTGTGATTTTTTTTCATTTAAAATTTGAATGAGATATATTTAACCTTTTTCTTTTACACTCTTTTTTATGTTTATATATTGTTAATTCTAATTAATAACGCTAAAGCAGATAAATAAAATATGTTACAAATTAGATAATAAGGGGTACAGTCCTTTAAAAAATATTTCAAACCAACTGATTTTAAACATTTATTTACTAAACTGATTGAAATATTTATTTTGAAAATAAAGTAAAAAAAAAACTCTTCATCAAGTTCATGCAGTGGATACAACAGACTAAACATGTTTATCTGTTATTCATTTCAATTGAAATTCAATATGTCCTTCCTACCAATAAACCGTATGTAGTTTTGATATGTAGCGATAATAAGTTGAAAAGTTTTGCTGTTTTAGGGGCATCCATGTCCGAATGGTTAAGGTTGTTGACTTCAAACCACTTGCCCTTCACTGCTGCTTGTTCGAATCCTGGCAGGGACTTTGGATTCTTTCATGTGTGGAAGCTATCAAGCTAGCTTACAGAATTACAGTGGTTCTACTCATGTGCGCTGTTGTGCCTGAAAATAATGCACATAAAGGCACCTGAGATCTTCCTCCACCAGTAGATCTGTCTCAAAGATCTCTGCTGTGTTGGTGCAACCAAACCAAAAAAACGCTGCTTTTTACTGAAGAATATGAAATTATTAATGTTCTAGAATCTTTTTAATTTTTCACAGAAGCCTCTTTTCTTCATTCCTTTATTGACATGTTTTAATTATTTAAAAATTGCATGATCAGCTATATGCTGTTGCTGAAAATAAAACAGATGTTATCTTTCTAGATAAACAGAATGATGACTAAGTATTAAGGGTGATGAGCATTTAAAGATATATTATGTTCAAATTTGATATAAAGATACTGATAATTCCTTAACAGTCTCTTGACTTTATAAATATAAAATAAAATTTTTTTGACTTCATACAAAATAGATAAGTTATGTTTAAAATTCTACACACTATAGGTGGTCAACTGGCAGTTTTTTAAGGAAGGGCCAACTTTACTTGGCCCAAAATAGGGAACGCAGCTTCCCATACATTGTTTTATTCAAATCAGACATATTCAGTAAGAATTTCATAGATTTCAATAAATTTCGGTGATTAGAATATTTTACTTAGTATATCTTTAATAATCACGTGTATTCTTGGATCTTTTTGACCTTTATTGCACATATAATCATTAGGACTGTGTATCAGTCAGAATGATCGATACAATATATTTATCCATACAAAATGATCAATATTATGTTAATGTTATGAGAAAATAAATAAAAATTATTCAACTTGTGTCAATGCAACATGATCTATTTAACAATGTGATTAAATTTGTTGTTGTACTAGGAAGGAATGATTTTTTTTTTGCTGAATGTGATGTTTGGGATCACAACTCTGTCATCATATTCATGTATCTTATCTCCGAAAGATATGATACGAAATTAGGCAAAGCCTATGAACGTGGAAGTAGGTTAAAAAAGTGTTCATTTTTTCGTTTTAAAGGTGTCATTCTTAATTTTATGTGCCGATGCTTCTGTTTTCACTCAGAACACTCGATGATTATTATTAACCAGAAAAGTTATGATTGTTCCCTTATAAAGTCACTTAATTTTTTTCGTTTTTAAGGTGTCATTCTTAATTTTATGTGCTGATGCTTCTGTTTTCACTCAGAACACTCGATGATTATTATTAACCGGAAAAGTTATGATTGTTCCCTTATACGAATACATTGCCTATTATCATTGAGTTACATTGAAAATGGCGGCGCCTTACTTGAATTTGTTTATGTTTGATTTCAGTTTAAATATACACATGTAGTATATAGCCAGGCACACCAAAGCCCGGGACTGCAATGCCTTTGATTTCCCCGTATAAAGACTGGCAAATTAATGATAAAATTTTTTCACTTTGACTCTCTGTTCTATTGCTTTTACATTAACTTAATGCATAATTCATTTTACACATGTTTTTTCTTTTCAATTACTTTGAATTTTGTTTTTCTTCATATATGAAAGTTTCACGTTTACTCTGTATTTTTTTTTAAAAAATCCATTTTACAATTTTATAATAAGAATTTTATACCTTTTCTATTGACTATTGCATTCACTTTTATTTATCTTCACAAACGGAGAGTATTTTGTGCGTGAATAAATTCCATTCACACCTTAAAATCTCAGTTTAATAATATTGATAATATTAAATGTATTAGTTAATGACACAATTGACATATGGTAATTTAGTCGTCATTTATTTTTTAACCGTTTTTTTAAATGCCTGTAATATAAATATGAATCTTTGTATAAATTGTATAAATTCCCCAACGGCACAAAGCATAAAGGTATTGTCAATACTGACAGACAACCATGATTCCAGCAGAATCCATCTTTTTGATCCTCTAAGTAATTGTCACACATTAAAATGTATGCAACTTTAATGAAAATCAATAAAAAATAAAACTGAGTTTTAATTAAGGAGTAAACATTTGTTAAGTATCACATGTATTGAAATAAAATGCGTATTTATATGTCTTTGCTTAAATGTAAAACATTTCGTATGTAAAACATTTTCTTATGTATTGTTATCTAATGCATGTGTTTTTTTCTGCAGTGAAACTGAGAAAATCAAGATACCTGATATCGTGAAGGAACCCAAAGATGAAGAAAAGCCACAAAGGTATTATATGAAACTATGGTCTGTTTTTCTATGGTTCAACATAATCTGGATGATTTTTCTCCCAAGGTAGAGGGTTATGAATTTGATGTTATCCATATGTATGCTTGTATGTCCTTCAGTCTGGTGTCTGTATGGCACACTTTGTGACTGTAGCGTAAAAACTAAAAAAAAAAAACATTTTTCAGTTAATGCTTCATATGTATTTACATCTCTTTGAGGATAAGTTCTGTGCAATGCCTAAAAATCTTAACTCTCTTACAAAACTTAGGAGTTACTTCCTTTTGAAAATTTGCTTTTAATAATTTGTGATTTTTGTCCGGGGCATAACTCAAGAAGAAATTCATAAATGCAGGGATTTTTAGTTTATGTAGAATAAAGAGAACTATAACTCTGAAAAGTATAATTTTGGAGTAATTGCCCTTGTTAATTTGTTTAGAAGTCAAAGGCCAAAAATAGAGTCCATTCTTTTTGTATCTGGTCCATCATAGCTTTGACATTCCTTGAAAGGTTTTGTAATTAGTTCGGTCAACCTCATACATACAAAATGGCAGCATGGCCAAGTGGTTAATGCGTTAGACTAGTAATCTAATGATCGCTTCAATGTAGCTGCATGGGTTCAAACCCGGTCCTGTATAAACCAACCTCATGCATAGAGGCCAAAGACAACAGTTGAGTATTTTTGGTGTTGGTGTCATTTCTTTGTCAAAACTGGATGGTTGTTGAAATTACTTGACACAAATATTTATTATTTCAATCTAACACAGGTTTCGTTGTTTATGTCATACAACATCTTTAGCAACCTATCCTGATTATCTGACCTAGAGATGTGCAGGTTTAAGATATTGTATTTAAGAATATTAAAGTTCTTGTTTGTTGCAGGTTTTTCAGGAACTTTTGTTCATAGTTGAATAAAATTTTACCTCGTTTTAGTCCTGAAAGTCTTGGTTAGATTCAAGCAACTGCCTGATCAAATGAGTGCATATTAAAAATCTTTCACCATTTTTCCATTGGTGTCATTGTCTGAGTGGTTACGGTCATTGACTTCAGACCACATGCCCCTCACTGATGTAGGTTTTGAATCCTGCCAGGGACTTAAGATTGTTTCATGTGAGGAAGCTATCCAGCTAGCTTATGGAATGTTTAGTGGTTCTACTCAGGTTCCCGCTCAAGCCTGAAATATTGCACAGAGTGGAATCTGAGGTCTTCCATCACCAGTAAAGCTGGGAAGTGGCCATATCACATCTCTTGTATTTGGCATATTTTCCCCTATAGTTTACTAGTACAAATAGGATTATGTAAAAAAAAATTAAAATCGGGTTACAAATTATGCAAATTAAAACTGAAACTTTGGAATAATAGCTGCAATAATGACCTGCCTATACCACAAGAGATGGGCGTGTTATTTACGCTACGAACCCACAGTCTTGTTGCTGGTCAGTTTTCAATGGTCAGTTTAAAATCAAAAGCACAAAGAAGTCAAAATATATATACAAAGAATTGAAATTCACCATCCTTTTTCCATAAATTGCCAACATATTTTTGTGTTTTTGTTGTTTTTCTTTTTCTTTTGAAGAAGAAATATTTCTTAAGATAATTTTTAGGTCAAAGCGTGAAAAAATATATATAAGTGTAATTACAGTAAATCACAAATGAAGTTGTTCATCAAAGTAATAGTGGTACGTTGCAATACATTAAACACGGAAGTGCCGTATGATTGAATGATAAATTTTACATACTTCTTCGTACTGACTTCCATCTTTGATCGTAGAAATTTACTGGCCTATTTTACTTTCTCACCTTCATAGTTAAAATGTATATAACGCTTAATGTTCACCAGTCAGGAGAATTGGCCAATCCTATAAATGGAAGAAAAAAAATCCTGAGAAGACCGATTCAAGCACTGGCTCCAAGTTTATTAATATATGAGCCGTGTCATGACAAAACCAACATAATGGGTTTGCGACCAGCATGGATCCAGACCAGCCTGCGCATCCACGCAGTCTGATCAGGATCCATGCTGTTCGCTTACCAACTCTATTACAAGTAGAGAAACTGATAGCGAACAGCATGGATCCTGATCAGACTGCGCGGATGCGCAGGCTGGTATGGATCCATGCTGGTCGCAAACCAATTATGTTGGTTTTGTCATGACACGGCTCATATGTATTTACTGACGATCTTGAATTGCACTATGTTACCTTGGCTTATGGTCGAGAACTGTTTTCCAATTAACTAATCAATAATGAATAACTTGGTTACGGGTTGGTGCATAGATTGCGAAATTGAATAGAAATTTTCTACAATTAGCAGGAATTAAGTCTGAAGACATCGGAAACAGGGTTTTTGTGTGTGTTTTTTCTGTTGGAAAAAAATGAAATATTCACATGAATCACTCCTGTTTTTCAGTTTTCTAGGGCTAAGGATTGGTAGAAATGGTCATATTTTATGGTGCAAATTATGAACCATGTACATGTACTATGTTTAAGCTGAAAATATTGACTTGTTTAAGTAAATAAGTAAAAATTACTACTCAGACCATATATGGATCTTCTATGGCCAAGCAGTTAAGGTTGAAGACTTCAAATCACATACCACTCACCTCTGGTGGTTCAAATCCTTCCTCTTTTCATGTGAAGAATCTATTCAGCTAGTTTATTTAATGTTGATGTTTTTATTCATGTGCCTTCTTGTGTCTGAAATAAATTAATGCACATTTGGAAGCTAGAAAATGCCAGAGACTGAAAAATACCTTACCTCTTTGAAAAATCCTGCAATTCTAGGGCTTTCAGAAAATAAAGAAAATACCCAGGGTCCCTGAAAAATCCTGCAATACTTATGCATTTTGAAAAGTTCTGCAAAACCTAAGCTCTTTGAAATCATCCTGCAATACCCAGGCTCTCAGAAAAATCCTGCAATACTCAGACTCTTAGAAAACATCCTGAAATACCCAGGTTCTTAGAAAAATCCTGCAATAGTCAGACTATCAGAAAAATTCTGCAATACTCAGACTCTCAGAAAAATACTGCAATACTCAGGGTCTTAGAAAACATCCTGTAATACTCAGGGTCTTAGAAAACATCCTGTAATACTAAGGCTTTTAGAAAAAATCCTGCAATAACCAGACTGCAATACCCAGGCTGTTGGAAAAAATCTTACACTAACCAGGCTCTTAGAGAAAATCCTGTAATACAAACATCCTGTAATAGCCAGGCTCTTAGAAAAGACCTGCAATACACAGGCTTTTAGAGAAAAAAAATCTGTAATACACAGACTCTCAGAAAAATACTGCAATACTTAGGCTCTTTGAAACAACTTGCAATACCTAGGCTCCCAGAAACAACTTGCAGTACACAGCCTCTGAAACAACATGCAATACCTAGGCTCTTAGAAACAACTTGCAATACCCAGCCTCTGAAACATCCTGCAATACACAGGCTCTCAGAAATCACTTGCAATACCCAGGCTCTTATAAAACATCCTGCAATACACAGGCTCTCAAAAACAACTTGCAATACCCAGACTTTTAGAAAACATCCTGCAATACCCAGACTCATAGGAATAATCCTGCAATACCCAGGCTCATAGGAATAATCCTGCAATACCCAGGCTCATAGGAATAATCCTGCAATACCTAGGCTCATAGGAAAAATCCTGCAATACCCAGGCTGTAAAAAAATCTTGCACGATCTGAGCTATTTACCTTAGCCCTTAGAAATTTTTCTTTTTGCAATACCCAGGCTCAAAGTTAACCTAAGGAAGCACTGAAAATAGTCGAGCACGCTTTCTAGCTTGCAGATCTTGTCTTTGAAATTCTCGCAAAACAGTAATTGTCAGCATGCCATAAAGCTAAACTCCATCCATCATTCTGAAAACATTATAATGCAAAGGTTTGTCTGGCTAAAAATCATTTATAAACAGGACCTTTATTTTCTATTTAAATTCTATGCAAATTCTCATCTGATGGTTGACTTTTGATTTCTGCCATATTGTGTATTTTCTGCATTTTAAATTACAGGTTTTAGCTGGCATTTTGAATATTCATCAAAATAATTCTTGTTTTGAAGCAGTAATTTTCTGTAACGTTCTCTCCTGGAGAGCGGAAAGCATCATTCAATTTGAATTTCTCATTTTTAATTGCAGTTTTGTAAAAAAAAAGGTTTAAAAAAGAACAACAACAACAAAAACAAAACAGCAACGCCAGAAGGAATCACTACATTAGGACGTAGTTATAACTGTTCCTAAATGAACTTGTCCAGCTTCCATTTTTTTGGGACTATCCATTATTAATTTTGGGGATTTCATGACAAAAATTTTAAGTAAGCCAACTCACTGTATTGAGCTTGGTCCATGCAGTCTGTCCTGGCTCTATACTGGTGGCAAAGACTTCTTTCAATTCGAGCAAGGAACCAGTCAAAACAGGACAAGTCCATTATTTAAATTTAGGAATGTTAAGGAGGTTGTTGATATGCTTCAAGGTCAAAGGTCACTGACACAAGTTAAGATACAAGAAATTGAGCTTTAGATATCAAGTTTTAGGAAAACTGATCTTAAATAACCTTTAATCTAGTGAATTTATGTAATGGATTTGCCCTGCTTTGAATTTGGAACAGTCCATTCAATCCTTCAGGGATCTTCGTAACAAAATAAAAAAATTGAACAGCAAACATTACTCTCGAACTGTACGGATGTGTAGGATGGCCTGGCCTGGCTCTACACTGGTGGCAAAGGCTGATCATTTTTGGTTCCAGCAGGGTTAGGGTTATTATCCTTGACCATGGCTACAAGGTCAAAGGTCATATTTAGAGGTCAAAGATATGAAAATGAACCCGATAGATTGCAAAGCACCTTGTTCTAGAGTGGAAGAGTTTACATACCAGTACTTATAATACTACCATAAAGGTGTACCTTTTATTTTTTGAACTTTATAGACTAAATGTCCATAAAAAATGACTATTGCTGTAATAAAGTGCAGAATTAAGGAAGTTAGATAGGAGATAACACACATAAAGGATTAAATGCTTGAGTTTGAGAAAAAATTGAAGGATTTTAATCAACTTTAAAGGAAAATTAATGATGCACAGGTCATGCATTAATTCTTTGGTTGACTGACTCACTTGAGGCTTAAGGCACTGTTTTTGATTGGTCGGGCGTGATGAAAATTGAAAATTTCAGCCAATCAGAATGCAGGAGAGTAATAAACAAAGCAGGGTGAGATGGCTTTTGCTCTGATTCATTAACCACAGATATTCATATGTATGGAATCCCACAGGAACTTGTGGAAATGTTTCCAGTGATGAACAAAGCTTGAAGTTTTAGTAAGCAAGTATAGCTCATGAATTAATAATGGCCGAGTTTTACTATAAATAAAAGCTCGGAATTACGACAGGTATAGAAATTAGCGACAACTCCATTTGGAATTCACTATGTTGTATTGTACATGTAAATTAGGAGTAGAAATTGTCAATTATTAATGATGCCATGTTTCTATTAAGATTTATATTTGTCATAATTCTCGCATTTTAAGATCGAAAGGTATCTGACCTGGTTTGATATGTTATAGTTAAAGCCTTTTATAAAAAAAAATTGTGTACATTTTGTCACCTTAGTGCAGTTACAGGTTAGTCCTTCTAACTTTAATAAGAGTTGACCAGTTATTGCACTGAGGTGACAAATTTTGTATTTCTTTTGCCCTACATGGAAATTGAAACTTCGTTAATGGATTTCAGTATCAAAATAATGAAATTATTCAGGCAACATTATATCGTCTGGCTCTTGTTTCTGACAGAAAGAAGAAAAGTGCTACTAGTAAGCCTGATATTTTTTAGATGCTGTTTGGATCTTGAAACTTAAGGGCATACAGTCAATGTCAACCTTTCGAAACACAGAATGTGAAATTTAGCCCTAATTGAGGCGCAGCAGGTTTTTTATTCTCAATATTTTTTGGAACATGACCTTTACCTTTAAGGATTGGGATTCTTCTAACTTCTTTCCAGGTTTGGAAAGAACCCAAGACAAAAAATATATACTGGTAGATTTGTTTGGACTAAGATTTTTTTTTAATGCTTTTATGTACTTGAAAGGAATTGTTGTAATAGTCATTTGATGGGGTGGGTAGAAGACTGAATATCTGGGCTGTGTTGGTATAATATGTGGATGTAAGTGCTGTGCGCAATGTGTAAATTATTTTCTTTGTTCAATACTTTATTTTCAAATACATTTTAAAAAATTTCAAGAAAATTTGCATGAATCTGGAGGCATGCTGCTTTAACACATTTTTGGTCATAACTTGGTGGTTGGTCCAGTTCAAACAAGCTTTCCTGGATAACTAACCAGTATTTACCAAGTTTTACCTAAATGACCTGCTACTATTCTTATGTGATTTCTGAATCAGAGGTGAGAGACAATTGACCATTGGACTCAACAAAATAAAAACCCCGAACGAAACAAACTTCTAAAGGAATAATTATCAAATTATTTCGCAAATAGATAACAACTCTGGCAATATTTTTTTTTTTTTTTTTTTTTTTGTCATGTATTGATTTTGTGTAAGTTTAAGGTTTGTTATATCTACTAGACCAAGTAGATGGGCAGTTAGAGGTTTCTACAGGCCACAGTTAAAGCCCATTTCTTCAAGCTACTGCAGACTGCCAGGAAGAAGGTGCTGAGGTGCTGACAGGCTTAAATATTTTTGCTTTCTGAAAAACGCTTGCAAGAAGGTTATTAAAGTAAAGGACTGGAAGTATTCAGATATGAAGATGAACTCTTAAATATTGTCTGAGATTTATATATGTATATTTATTAGGTGGTGTAATTATTTATATTTCAGTTATGATGAATATTATATCGTTATAATTGACCCGATGCGTGACTGGGCATGAGTTATTTATATACTAGAGGTAAAGGGGTAACATAGCAATATCTCTGATAAGTCGTGATGTGGAAATGTCCATATATCATTGTAGAATTATTTATTATACTTATTGCCAAGTTGTTTTTTTTCCCCCTCACATGCTCTGTCTGTTGAGGTCGTGGTAAATAAGTAACCAAATACCTTAGACAGTATTGATGAAATCTTGTCTTTATAGTTTGACCTTAATAATGATTTTTCATTGACTTGTGGCTAGGGGTAATGATTTTCCATAAACTTATGGCCAAAATAATGATTTTTCATTGACTTATTGAATAAGGGGGTCAATAATCTAGAAAGAGTAAAAATAATTGGTGAAAACCGAGATCTATACTGTTGTATAATCCTGGGGGATAGTGCCTGGTTTGACATCAATATTTTGTAGGGAAAATTATTGACTTTACATGGAATTGTAGCTGTAAAATGGAAGTCGATGGCTCAGAGGATGCTAAGATAGAGGGTTTGAGTCAGAAAACTGGTCAATTTTATTGACAAACACTAGTTTTATATGAGGTCTATAATATTGTTGCTATCAGTCAAGCAGAAGGTGCATTACGGTGACAATCTCGTCTGGTGATGTGAATTTTGCTCGGATTTTATCATTTATTCAGAGAATTTTGGATTTTAATTCCGTGTGCTTTTTATTATTGTTTCTTATTTCCAGTACAGCAGATGACAAAAGTGTGAACAAGAATTTTATCCTAGCCTCAGCGTTTTCAGCATCGGGGAAATATTTTGCCGTCGGTGACAACTGCAAGCAGCTTCATGTATATAAAGTGTCGCCAAAATGGGAACTCGTTAGCACACGGTGAGTTAATCATCAACAAGTCTTCTCTTTTTCCATTCTGTAATTAATTTGCATACATTATTTGTTGTTTCTGCAGTGAAATTTTTGGTTAATCATTCGGACGATTCTGATTCCATGCCAAGGTTGAAGCTGACTCGTTTACAACAACCTGACTATAGAATGTTTGCTTTAGCAGTGTAGGATAGAAAACAGAGTGTATATAATGTCGGGAACACGGATGTCGGAAAGTATTGATTTTTGCCCGATCACGACTTAATGTTATGAAGGGTTCCAAAAATAGAAAGTGAAATGTTTTCATGCAGAGTTTTACATTAAATATGGGCAGAATCTTGTATGAAGTGTACTCATTTTTTTGTTTGTTTGTTGTTTGCAGAAATTGATGACCTCTAAATTAAAAAAATATTTAAATGAGCTTAATGAATAATGAATATTTATGATATTTCTTTAATGAATAAAGATAACCGGTAGATTTTGTAATCAAATTAAGTGGGAGCAAAGTGGGTTGAGGGGGTCTGTTCAGAGTGTGTTGTTGTTCCTTTTTTTTTTGCCAGTGATTGGTGACATCATTGATTTTACTAATTTTGAAGTTGATTAATGACAAATTTAAGAGAACGGCATTTTAACTAAATTATAAAAAAAGGATTGGTTTTCTAAACTGAAAGGGCGATCACCAGTATGCGATCGTTCATGTACCTAAAATATGATTTATGATTGTTTAATGTATTAATGTATAAGATCATAAAAATCAATAAAAAAGGGAATTAAATGAAAATTGTTAATGATAATTAGACAGCATAAAAGAGTCTTAAATTTAAAACAGATAAATGTTAACAAAGTGGTGTGTAGGGGGAGGGAGTGAGGGGGTGGGGTTTGTGGGTGGGGGCAGAGTAGGAAAATAGAGAGGATTGCATGGATCCATGCCTGGATAATATCAGGATAACATACCTTTAAAGCAACTTACATATGATAGGGGTGGCTTGGGCTGGGGGTAAGATGTGTGTGTGTGGGGGGGGTTAAGGGGGGACCTTTATTATATGATTTTACTGGTAGTTTTTTAAAACAAAAGACTTGCAATTTAATGATGCAAAATAGTTTGGGGAATGAAAATAGTGGTCAGTGACATGCATTCAGCATATGGTTTTAAATTGAAGGGTTTATTTTAACACCACAGATAGACAATCATTGATGCAGCATTAGAAAATGGCTGCCTGTGATATTGTAATCATGTGTCACTGGTATATAGTGCCTTGCACCCCCCTCAAACACAAACTAACTAATTTACCAACTAACCAACCAACTGACTGACTAACCTATCAGCCTGCCAACCAACCAACTGACCGACGAAACAACTAAATAATTGACAACCCAACTGAACAACTTACAGACCAACTGACCAACTAAACAACTAACCAACCAACTGACTGACTAAACAACTAACTTACCAGTTGACCGACTGAACAACTCGGGTGACCAGCTGACCAACTAACCTGCTGACCATTAGACCAATTACCCAGCTTAAACTAACAAAAATCAAAACAAAACAACAACAAACATTTTTGTGACAAAGTGTCTGTTGCAGAAAACTCTTAAGAAACAAAATAAACCAAGCAGACCCCCCTAAACTCCCGGCCACCCCCCCCCCCCAAAAAAAAAAAAAAAAAAAAAAAAAACAACAACAAAAGCAAAAAAAACAATCACTGAAACAACAATATGTCTTTGCTGTTGTTTCTCCTCCCCGGTCAATCCTAAACAACATCAAGAACAACAGTTATGTGTCACTGTTTTAGTTAGTGTCGCTAATATCCCACTATCATTTATCTTATTAAATATTTCTATTCAGTCATCTTTAATTTCATTCATCAAATTACAATTAAGTTTAAACAATATTTTCCATTACAGTATTTAGCTTGTCAAGTAAATGATCGTTAATAAATAATTAATAACTATTTTTTTCTGCCGTTCTCATTTTGTTAGAAGCATGACAATACTCCGGTGTTTTTTTCCCTCTCACAAATAAAACTAATTAATTTTTTTTTTCCAAAACAAAAAAGAAGTTCTATTAAATGCGCATAACATTCACTGTGAGGTCAGCAGAAGATTTATTTGTTTTACCAGTTTTGATATTGATTTGTCACTGATAATTAACGTATTTCTTTTTATATGTGTGATAATTTTTTAATTATCATCAGTGCAAGACTCGAACTGAGACTGTTATCCTGTTGGCTAGCAGAAAAGTGCAGTTTTGTCACATTGTTTGCATTTTAAATCACAGGGCCCTACTTTACAGTATGAAAACAAAAACCCTGTACCTTGTTTTGCGAGTCTGTACAGTAGTTCAATGTGTCCCTTGTCTTGAGATTATACCCATGTGTTACTTTAGATCACTTATGTGATAACAGGAAGTTGACTTGTTTATATACTGGGTAATTCCCTCAAACGGGCATAGATAGAAAATTCCACTTGTCCGCTCATAATTATGAGTAGAATCTAAAAGAATTTGATGCAGAACGAGTATAAAAATGTTGCCTGCACATTTGATTTAGAAGCTACTCCTCCTGCAGGAAGAATGACTCTAAAAATATTTTTCGATGCCTCAGGTAGGTGAATTCCGCATAGTTTCGAAGAAAAAGGCAACAACAAGAGTGCTCATAATGCTATTATAATTATATTCTACTTTGCAAAAAAAAATAGAATATGTCAATATGATATTGTTCAGGGCCGACTGGTTCAGTCAGGTTAAACTTAATTTGTTTAGGGGAATATGTTAAATGCCCATACAGCCCCCTACACACCCACACACAAATTCAAAACAAACAAACAAAAAAAAACAAATAAATAGGAGAACAAATGACAGTAGTAGTATACAGTAAAATTCCTAATAAACGTCCCTCCCCTAATAAAGGCCCCCCAGGCCTTTTGATAAGGAAAACAATCTACCCATCAGTGCTGAACTCATAACTAAAGCCATAATTTTATTCAAAACATTCAGAATCCATTTTATTTTATAGTAAACACAAATATGTATAATATGAACTTTAAAACCTTAACACTTTTTAAAGTTATTTCCAACACTTGCTATAACTAAATGTATTTACAGTGATTTTTGGATTTAGGAAAAACTGTGTTGTAATAATAGCCCCCTTTTGGAAAATGTTTAGCCCCCGGGGGCATTTAATAGGAATGTTACGGTAATTATCAGTCTGATTGTTCATTGATTTTAAGAAAATGCCTTTTACATATTCCAAAAAAGGGGGAGATTCCCATAGGAGCAATGATAACACACAAAAATTAATGGTGGTGATGGTGGTAGTTTATCCTCTGGATGATGGCCGCCCGCCGAGTGAGTTCTATGTACTATATTGTTCCTGTGCAGACTGTCAAGCAGTTTACCAGTACCAGTTGCCTTCACTTTGGCAAGGAACTTATTAAAGCATCTATACATACCAGAGCAGAGGTACAGTGGGATAATGACGGTAGAAAGAATTCCATGATCAATCACAATGAAAGTGATTTGCACTCTGGGGATCGAACCCGGGTTGCCTATGCACAGTCCATTGCTCTGCCTATAGAGCTTACCGGACATCTAAAAAAAAAGTAAAATGACAGACTTGGTTTTATCTAGTCTGTTCATGAAAGATAATAGAAAATGTTGATAAGATTAAAATTGCCATATTTAACTGATATTACCATATTTGATAGAAATTGTCAAATTTGATTGATATTGCCATTTATGGTAGTAATTGCCAAATGAAAATTATTGCCATAAATAATAAGAATTGCCAAATTTGACTCATATTGCCATATTTGATAAAAATAATTACCCTGTATTTTGAGAATATTGCCATATTTGATAAAAAGGGCTATATTTTACCGATACTGCCATTTAATTTAACTGACAGAAATTGCCATATTTAATAGAAACTGCCATATTTGATTGAAACTGCCCCACGTAAAAGAAATTGCCATATTTGTTAGAAACAACAATATATTACAGAAATTGCCATATTTGATAGAGACAACAATATTTGATAGAAACAACAGTATTTTATAGAAATTGCCATATTTGATAGGAACTGCCATTATTTGATTGAAACTGCAATATTTGATAGAAATTGCCATGTTTTGTAGAAATTGCCATATAAGATAGAAATTTACTGTCACACTTTATAGAAACTGCAGTATTTGATAGAATTTTACATTTAAGTGCAACATACCTTTTTTTAACTTGAAAATAATAAGGAAATATTTTATATGGAAATATTAAGTCTACAAATTTGACAAAAATAAATCATGTTTGTGAAAACAAATCGGGGAAGGAATGTGATCGCAGCAGATGTTGTCAAGCTAACAAACACTTTGTATGGGTATTATTTATAGCTCTACCATTCACAAGAAAAATAGAAAATGTTCAAACAAAAAGCTAGTATACACCTATAACAGCCGGGGTTTTTATTTTCAGGTGAAACATCTTGCTCAGTTCTCATTGGCTAAGAGCTGTTTTGTAAAACATGAAAATATTATAGCTGTAAGATTTTGATGTTTTTGGTACAGCATCTATGTAGATTTATTTATACAGGGAATTTTAGCCCCATCATCTGGGGCTGATATAAAGGGCCCATTCCCAATCTTTTTTTTTTTCCCCAATTAAAAAAAAATTGTATTCCCATAGATGAAAAAAAAAATCAAACTGTTTCAAAAGCTACTGAAAATTGAATTATTTTTACTTGTTGATACACATGAGTTAAACTTAAAATCTCACATTTAAGGTAGTATTTCAACTTTTAAAAAATGTCTCAAATTTCCCAAAATGATGCAAAATTTTTCTCAATTTATGTTTTGGTCCCAAATTAACTGGAAAAGGCCCTGTTAAAATAACTTGATCTAAGTTGGTTATTTTATCCCATTCTTTGAATTGGGACAGAAAATTAAAACACCTTTCCAGATTTTTTTTAACCAAATGATGTTCAAAGGCACAATTTGACTGTAACCATGACTGTTTT